CCTGCTGGGATCTGGTGGATATGTCTGATCTCTAGGGTGACCCTACGTCTTGGGGTGCCTGCAGCAGTCCTGGTTTACCCCTGTTGTCCTGACGGCTCCTGGAATCCAGCAGATTCCAGCATTCATGGAAAGGGCCGATGAGGGATGATGAGTTTGTGTCGGCCCTAAATTGACACAGGTTTCAAATCAGATGGCGCTGGTCAAATGCTGGCTCAGGTCCTTCTTGGCTGGGTCAGAGTGAGCCTCAGGACGCTCCTCTGTCAAGTGGGAATAGCTGTGCCTCCTTAGGGAGTGCTGGGAGGTTGGAAGGCAGCATGTAGGTGGAGGCGCTGGCCTTAGTGAGGGCTCCATGGTGGGCAGCTCTGGCTGTGATATATTGATGCTGGGCATGCTGGGTGTGGGCAGGGCTGTCTGGGGCAATCCAGGGTCTTTGTGGGCTACCTTTTTTTTTTTTTTTTTGAGATAGAGTCTTGGTCTGTCATCCAAGCTGGAGTGGCAGTGGCATGATTTCAGCTCACTGCAACCTCCGCCTCCCGGGTTCAAGCGATTCTCCTGCCTCAGCCTCCTGAGTAACTGGGATTACAGGTATGTGCCACCACACCTGGCTCATTTTTGTATTTTTTGTAGAGACGGGGTTTCAATGTGTTGGTCAGGCTACTCTCAAACCACTGACCTCGTGATCTGCCCACCTCAGCCTCCCAAAGTGCTAGGATTACAGGCGTGAGCCACCGCGCCTGGCTGACAAGTCATTTCATCACTCTGAAGCTATATTCCATGCGTCAGGGAGGGATGAGGAGACTACTGACCTCAAGCAGTTGATGTGAGGATTGAGTGACTTTGGCCGGGCGTGGTGGCTCACGCCTGTAATCCCAGCACTTTGGGGGGCCGAGGCAGGAGGATCACTGGAGGTTAGGAGTTCAAGACCAGCCTGACCAACATGGCGAAACTTTGCCTTTACTAAAGATACAAAATATTAGCCAGGCACGGTGGCGGGCATCTGTAATCCCAGCTACTTGGGAGGCTAAGGCAGGAGAATTGCTTGAACCCGGGAGGTGGAGGTTGCAGTGAGCTGAGATCACGCCATTGTATTCCAGCCTGGGCAACAGAGAGACACTCTGTCTTAAAAAAAAAAAAAAAAGGAGTGCTTGGGGATTACTCTGCATACATTGGGGATTACTCTGCATGCAGGGTTGGTTATTGTTACAATAACTAGAGCCAGAGAAGAGGCCGGGATAAGTTGGCTATGCTGGCTCCTCACCCACCCTGTCTTCTGGATGTCTTCACATGGGCATTGTGTTAGCCCTGGGAGAGAGGGGTATGAAGGACTGACCTTTGTGGATCTCCTTCCATGAACCTTTTGCCCCCTACACCCTGCCCAGGCTGTTTCATGCTTCTAGGCCTTTGTTCTAACTGCAACTCCTGCCAAAAAGGCCCCTTCTCTCCTTAACCTCCTGGAAAACTCCTATTCATCCTTCAAAACCCTATTCTGGACTCACTGCCTCTGAAAAGCCATCTTGGACATGCTGATTCCCGTATGCCTGCCCTCAGACAGGGGCGCTGCTCCCCTAGCCTTAGCATCCTGTGCCATCATCTCCTGCCTCCTCTCCTAAGAACTGTGTCTCCAGGCAGCTCTCTCAGATAAGCACCCAGCAGCAATGGAGTTGGCGCTCAGTGAGGGTACTGAAGGGGTCTAGGCTTCCAGGGTCTGGGTACTCGGGGCAGCCCGAGGGGGTCTGTGGAATCTACGCCTGGCAGTGCTGAAGGGGTCACAGATGCGTCAATTCGCATAATGAAGACGGAGAGGAGGCAGCCTTGAACTCATGCTAGGAAACAACTGTGATCAGAGTCAATGCTAGACCTGGCAGATCCATGCCTGAGCCGGGCCCTGTGCCAACCGCTTTGTGCAGAGTTTCGTGTTAATCCTTCAACCGTGCTAGGAGTCTAGGACTACTGCGTCCAGTGAGAACGAGGAGTTAGGCCTTGGTGAAGGTCACACAACTAGTTAGTGGCAAATTAAAGCTCACCCCGCAAAGAGGCCAGTGAGTTCAGACTTGTAAATTTCTTTCTCTTTCTTCTTCTTCTTTTTTTTGGGGGGGGGGAATGGAGTCTTGCTCTTGTTGCCCAGGCTGGAGTGCAGTGGCATGATCTTGGCTCACTGCAACCTCTGTCTCCCAGGTTGAAGTGATTCTCCTGCCGCAGCTTCCTGAGTAGCTGGGATTACAGGTGTCTGCCACCATGCCTGGCCAACTTTTGTACTTTTAGTAGGGACAGTGTTTCGCCATGTTGGCCAGGCTGGTCTCGAACTCCTGACCTCAGGTGATCTACCCACTTCAGCCTCCCAAAGTGTTTGGATTATAGGCGTGAGTCACTGTGTCCGGCCCAGACTCCTGATTTCTGATGCAGCCAGACCACCTGGCCATCCCAGCACAAGCTGCAGCCTTTGTGTTGTTAGTCCCTCTCCCCTCCCCACTTATTTAAAATTGTGGATTCTAGGCTGGGTGCAGTGGCTCATGCCTGCAATCCCAGCACTTTGGGAGGCTGAGGTGGGTGGATCACCTGAGGTCAGGAGGTCGAGACCAGCCTGGCCAAGGTGGCGAAATCCCGTCTCTACTAAAAACACAAAAGTTAGCCAGGACTGGTGGCACCTGCCTCTAATCCCAGCTACTTGGGACGCTGAGGCAGGAGAATCGCTTGAATCTGGAAGGCAGAGGTTGCACTGAACCCAGATCTCACCACTGCAATCCAGCCTGGGTGACAGAGTGAGACTTTGTCTCAAAAATAAATAAATAAAATAAAACTGTGGACTCTATCTAGGGCATGGTGGCTTACACCTGTAATCCTAGTACTTTGAGAGGCTGAAGTGGGAGGATCTCTTGAGCCCAGAAGTTTGAGACCAACCTGGGCAACATAGTGAGACCCTATCTCTATTTAAAAATAAATAAAAATAAAACTGCGGACTCTAGCATGCAGGCATGGGGAAAAGTACACAGAGTACGTGCACGGAGTTCAATGTATGATCATGGAGCCAACACTCCGGTAACCCTCAGGTCCGGAAGGGGACGCCCCTGCCCCCCAGAGCCCTCCCAAATGTGCCCATAGTCACCTCCTTGCTCTTCTTCACCTTTCCCCTATTTGTGTGCACCCCTAAATGTTATGGTGAAGTTGGACTTGCTGTCGGTCTAAGTGTGAATGGAATGATCTTTCATCTGTGCCAGACGTCCTGTTAGATTCATCCATCCTCACTTGTCCCTAGGACCTGGAAATGGTGCTGGGCAGTCCCTGGGGTTACCTCAGCCTGCAGGTGTCTTATTCTAGGAAAGCAGGCCCACACCCAAACCCACTGGCTGCAGCTGAGTTTTGTTTATTTAAACCCAACCCGTCCTGCTTAAAACCTTATTGCAAAATACGCACTCCTGGGCTTCTCTGGTTTTCCTTGCACCTGGGTCCCCTTCAGACCCCCCCCCCAAACACACACACATTTCCCAGCAGGACTCCCCAGTGGGAACCCAGAAGTAAAAAGTTCCAAAGCAACTCCACCTTTTTTTTTTTGAGACGGAGTCTTGCTCTATCACCCAGGCTAGAGTGCAGTGGCGCAATCTCGGCTCACTGCAACCTCCACCTTCCAGGTTCAAACAATTCTCCTGCCTCTGCCTCCCAAGTAGCTGGGATTATGGGCGCTGCCACCGCGCCCGGCTAATTTTTGTGTTTTTAGTAGAGACAGGGTTTCAGCTTGTTGGCCAGGCTGGTCTTGAGCTCCTGACCTCGTGATGCACCTGCCTTGGCCTCCCAAAGTGCTGGGATTACAGGCATGAGCCACCGCGCTCGGCGCAACTCCACCTTTTAGATCAATATAACGTCTTCACATAGTAGATACCGGGAAGAAAATGCTCCCGCTGGGCTTCATTCAGCCCGAAACCATTGTTTCAAAAGCTTTGAAGTTGGCTGAGTATGGGTGTGACACACACAGACATATCGCTGGCTTCGGCGAGAAACCTTGCCGGGTCTCCCCAGCCGCCCACGGTTCTCGCTGAGACTGGACTCATCTAAGCTCAGCTCAGATATTTGGCTGCAGGATCCGACCCTCCCTTGCCAAAAAGACCGCTCTAGAGGTGACTGCGCAATACTCTCACCCACCGCTCCGACCCGCCCCAGGAGCCCTCCACCTAGGGTCCCCGACCACTGGGAGGCCTAAGGGCTGCCCTGGATTCCGGCGCCCCAGCGCCACCGAGGGAGAGTGCGCGTCCTTCCCAGCCGCTAGTGGCACAGTCCCAAAGCCCCACAGGAAGGGTGATGTCGCACGGTCCCAAAGCCCTGCCCGTTGGGGGGCTCGCGAAGTCCTAAGCCTCCACCCCCTCTATGGCTGTGCCGGATCCGGAGGCAGGTGTACCGGACTCTCGGACCTAAAGCTGTCCCCGCCCCGCCCGTGGTTCCCTGCAGGAGGCGGGTGTGTGTGTCAGGGTTCTGAAAGCTCCAAGGTCTCTACCCCCGTCCCCCCACTGCTGGCCTCCGCAGGAGGCCGGGGCGGGGCCGTTGCCAGCTCTAAATCCCCGCGGGTGTTTGCTCGCCACAGGAGGCTTCCAGGGCCCCCAGTCCCCCTCAACCCGCTTCGGGAGGAGCTGGACGCTCTGGGACTCCGCAGCGCGTCCCCGAACGCTCGGAGCCGGCCGCCGGCGGGAGATGAGCGCGCCTCCGCTGTCGGCTCCAAATTCCTAATGTCAACCCGGCTTTTCTTTTTTAAGTTAAAAGTTGCGCTTTAAACCAAGTGGGACGCAGAACCGGTAGCTGCCAATTGGGTTTCAAAGTACAGGGAGTTTTAGTCCGCGCGAAGCATTTTAGCCTCCGTGCCTCTTGCTGTAAAATGGTTAACCTCCTCTCGACAGCCGCCACAGTACTTAATGGGGTCCCTGGCTTCTCGGCCCCAGCCCTCAGCCCCCGGGTCCCACCCGCGCGGCACCCCTAGCGGCGGTCTCTGTGGATCTGCTCTGCCGGGGTGAGGAGCCAGTCTCTGAGCCGCGGCCCCGCGCCGGAGGTGTGGAACCAACGCCCCACGGGTAGCGGCCAACTGGGGCCCCACACCTCTCCCAGCCCTGCTCCCTCGGCCCGGACCCCCGGGTGGTTGGGTGGGGAGGCCGCCGGGGAGTAGGCCCCCCCGCCCCCGCCCCGGCCGCGCCCTCGCGTCTTCACAGCGATCCTTCCCTGCGCACCCCCTTGCCGGCTCCCCCTGGGGCCGAACAATACGCGTACGGGCCGGGGGCGGGGGGGGTGGGGGCCGCTTCCCACGCCCGCCAGGCCGAGCCCGCGCCGGAGCCACCCGGAGCCGCCGCCGCACTTTGATGCGCGGCACCCTCCCGGGACGCGCGGAGGAGCCATCTTGAGACCAACTTCGCCAACTTTCGCAAAGTGCTCTCGAAGTGGAAGCTGCGGGTGAGGCCGGGCGCGCAGTCCCCACAGTCCCCGCCAGGACACCCGGGAGGCGGGACGCGGCCCGCCCGAGGGCCGGGCGCCCGGCGCGCGGGAGCCGCTCCCCGGCCGCGCCGGGTGGATGCGGAGGCGCGGCGGGTGCGTGGATTGTGTTTGGGTGCCCGGCGGGCTCGGGTTCCGGGCCATGGCGCCGCTGCCGCCGCCGCCGCCCCCCGTGCTGCCCGTGCTGCTGCGCCTGGCCGCCGCCGCCGCCGCCCGAGACGCGTCGCCGCCCTGCCGGCGCTGGGGCTGCGAGCCGCCGCCTGGGAGCTGCGAGTCCCTGGCGGGGCCCGCGCCTTCACCCTCGGGTCCGGTCGTACCTACGCGGTGGGCGCCACGCAAATGCCCCGGGAGCTGTTGGACGGAGGCCGCGAGGGACGGCTGGCAGGACGCGGCGCGTCTCGGGCGCCGGCCCCGGAGCTGCATGCACCTGGCCGGGCGCCCGCTGCTGCTGCAAGTCCGTTTGGAGGCCCGCGGTGCCCCGACGGCGCTGAGCCTCCGCCTGCGGGTGCGCGCGCACCATCCCGGCTGCCGAGCCCGTGTCCGGCGCGCGCGGGCTGTGCTCCCAGGGCCTGGGCTCTACCCGGCGCTCTGCTTCCGGGTGCCCGGTGGCGGCGCGGCCGCGCACCGTTCAGTGCTCGCAGCTCCGACCACCGTCCCCGCCTGCAGCTGCCCACCGCGTCCCGGGCCCTGCTGTCCCGGCCGCCCCATCTGTCTGCGTCTGCTGTGCGCCCTGCGATGCGCGGCTGGCGCCTTCCGGGTGGGGCTGGCACTGGAGGCCGCCGTCTCGGGGACACCCTTCGTGTCGCCATCGCCATCGCCGCCGCCGAACTTGCCCCAAACCCGGGCGGGGCCGGTGCGACGGTCCCGGCGGGGCACGAGCGACAGAGGGAGGCTGAAGTTCCCGATGCCCAACTACCAGGTGCCGTTGTTTGAGAACGAGCTGGCGGGCACCCCCCTCCTCCAGCTTCACGCGCACTACACCATCGAGGGCGAGGAGGAGCACGTGAGCTATTACATGGAGGGGCTGTTCGACGAGCGCTCCCGCGGCTACTTCCGCATCGGCTCCGCCATGGGCGCGGTGAGCACTGCCGGCGAGCTGGACCGCGAGACCAAGGAGACGCACCTGCTCAGGGTAAAAGCTGTGGACTACAGCACGCCGCCGCGCTAGGCCACCACCTGCATCACTGTATTGGTCAAAGACACCAACCACCGCAGCCCGGTCTTGGGGCAGTCGGAGTACCACGAGCGCGTGCGGGAGAATCTCGAGGTGGGCTACAAGGTGCTGACCATCCGCGCCAGCGACGATGACTCGCCCGTCAACGCCAACATGCGCTACCGCATGCTGGGGGGCGCGTGCGACGTCTTCCAGCTGAACGCGAGCTCCTGCGTGGTGAGCATGCGCGCGGTGCGTGACCGGGAGGAGACGGCGGAGTACCAGCTGCTGGTGGAGGCCAGCGACCAGGGCCGCAACCCAGGCCCGCTCAGCGCCACGGCCACCGTGGCTGAGGTGGAGGACGAGAATGACAACTACCCCCAGTTCAGCGAGCAGAACTACGTGGTCCAGGTGCCTGAGGACGTGGTTCTCAACACGGCTGTGCTTCGCGTGCAGGCCTCGTACCGGGACCAGGGCCAGAACGCGGCCATTCACTACAGCCTCCTCAGCGGGCACATGGCCTGGCAGTTCTACCTGCACTCACTGAGCGGGATCCTGGATGACATCAACCCCCTGGATTTCGAGGATGTCCAGAAGTACTCGCTGAGCATTAAAGCCCAGGATGGGGGCCGGCCGCCGCTCATCAATTCCTCCGGGGTGTGTCCTGTGCAGGTGCTGGATGTCAGTGACAACGAGCCCATCTTTGTGAACAGCCCCTTCCAGGCCATGGTGCTGGAGAACGTGCCCCTGGGCTACTCCGTGGTGCACATTCAGACGGTGGACGCGGACTCTGAGGAGAACGCCCGGCTGCACTATCGCCTGGTGGACGTGGCCTCTGCCTTTCTGGGGGGCGGCAGCGCTGGGCCTAAGAACCCTGTCCCGGCCCCGGACTTCCCCTTCGAAATCCACAACAGCTCCGGTTGGATCACTTTGTGTGCCGAGCTGGACCGTGAGGAGGTGGAGCATTACAGCTTTGGGGTGGAGGCGGTGGACCACGGCTCGCCCCGATGAGCTCCTCCACCAGCGTCTCCATCACAGTGCTGGACGTGAACGACAATGACCCGGTGTTCACTCAGCCTACCTACCAGCTGCGTCTGAAGGAGGATGCACCCGTGGGGAGCAGCGTGCTGACCCTGCAGGCCTGCGACCGCAACGCCAACGGTGTGATCACCTATCAGCTCACGGACGGCAACACCCGGAACCGGTTTGCGCTCAGCAGCCAGAAGGGAGGCAGCCTCATCACCCTGGCGCTATCTCTGGACTACAGGCAGGAGCAGCAGTACCTGCTGGCGGTGACAGCGTCGGACGGCACACGGCGCACACCGCGCCTGTCCTCATCAATGTCACCGACGTCAACACCCACCGGCCGGTCTTTCAGAGCTCCCATTACACGGTGAGCGTCAGTGATGACAGGCCTGTTGGCACCTCCATTGCTACCCACAGTGCCAACGACGAGGACACAGGAGAGAATGCCCGCATCACCTACGTGATTCAGGACCCAGTGCCGCAGTTCCGCATTGACCCTGACAGTGACACCATGTACCCCATGATGGAGCTGGACTGTGAGCACCAGGTCGCCTACACGCTGACCATCATGGCCCTGGACAAAGGCATCTCGCAGAAGTCGGACACCACCACCCTGGAGATCCTCATCCTCGATGCCAACGACAATGCGCCCCAGTTCCTGTGGGATTTCTACCAGGGTTCCATCTTTGAGGATGCTCCACCCTCAGCCAGCATCCTCCAGGTCTCTGCCACGGACCGGGACTCGGGTCCCAATGGGCGTTTGCTGTACACCTTCCAGGGTGGGGACGACGGCGATAGGGACTTCTTCATAGAGCCCACGTCCGGTGTCATCGACACCCAGCGCCGGCTGGACCGGGAGAACGTGGCCGTGTACAACCTTTGGGCTGTGGCTGTGGATCACGGCAGCCCCACTGCCCTTAGCGCCTCGGTGGAAATCCAGGTGACCATCTTGGACATTAATGGCAATGCCCCCATGTTTGAGAAGGACGAGCTGGAGCTGTTTGTAAAGGAGAACAACCCAGGGGGGTCGGTGGTGGCAAAGATCCGTGCTCAGGACCCTGACGAAGGCCCCAATGCCCAGATCATGTATCAGATTATGGAGGGTGACATGCGGCATTTCTTCCAGCTGGACCTGCTGAACGGGGACCTGCGTGCCCTGGTGGAGCTGGACTTTGAGGTCCGGCGGGAGTACGTGCTGGTGGTGCAGGCCACATCGGCCCCGCTGGTGAGCCAAGCCAAGGTGTGCATTCTTCTCGTGGACCAGAATGACAACCCTCCGGTACTGCCCAACTTCCAGATCCTCTTCAACAACTCTGTCACCAACAAGTCGAACAGCTTCCCCACCGGCGTGATCGGCTGCATCCCAGCCCATGACCCCGACCTGTCGGACAGCCTCAACTACACCTTCCTTCCTGGCAACGAACTGCACCTGTTGCTACTGGACCCCACCGTGGGCGAGCTGCAGCTCAGCCAGGACCTGGACAACAAGCGGCCACTGGAGGCGCTCATCCCCGAGGTGTCTGTGTCTGGTGAGTGGCCATTGGGGCTGGAGGAGTGGCTCTGGATGGGCCACCTGGAGAACCTCAGGAACCCACCAAGGGCCTTGCCTGGCATGCCGGGGTGCATTTGGGCCGGGTGTGGGGAGCTCTGCAAGGATTTGTTGCCTCCAGTTAGATGTTGGGGCAAGTGCCCCACTTAGGCCCAGCTGGGAGAGAGGCACCACTCTACTTCCGTCAGCATTTTCTTAGGAAAAGGCCCGAGCTTCTCCAAGTTCAAGACCAGGGCTCAGCGCCTTCCTCAGCAAGCTAGTGGCTCCTGAGTACAGCTATTAAAATGTGGCCTCCAGGTGATCTGGGTCACAGGATTTGCTTGTGTATGCTCTTTCATCAGCCAGCCACAGGGCTCTCTGGGAAGATCAGAGATCACTGCCCCTTCCATGTGCCAATTAATTTCAGGGTGGCACCGTTGGAGATTGTCAGACAGCCCCTGAGTCACCCTGTGATGTAGCCGGTGTCCCCTTGGTCTTGCTTTTCTGTCTCCTCGAGATAATAACAGTTGGGTGGCTGTGTGCAGGGCTTTGTGTAAGCTCTTTGAAAAGCATAGCCTCATCTCATCTTGGCTTCTGCTCCTGGACATGGGCTTGTAATTTGGGACCTGTTGAAGAGGCCTGCCCAGTTAGTGGTGGAGCCAGTGTGGGTAGCTTGCTTGCCGGCCCTGGGGCTGGAGGTGCACAGAAGGGAGAGGAAACCTTGGCTCCGTGGTCAGATGCTTGGCAGGTCCTCCACGCCTCTGACCCCGAGGGCCAGGGCTGGCCTGTGGTGCTGTGGGGTGGGGGGGGGTGCGTACTAATAGAATGTGTTGGAATTGGAAGACGCAGAAGAGAAAGAAGCACTTGGCGGGGCTGGGGGAACAATAAAGGTCCCCCAGTGGCTCTTTGAGGTTTGCCTGACCATGCATCCAAGGGTGCTGGTGCAGGCAGGTGACCTTATTTATGAGACCACAGCCAGGAAGAGCTCGGATTGGCTCGCTGCTTGAGTCAGTTTCAGAGGAGCTATTTCAACAGTGAGTTATTAGGACGCAGCATTGCCACGGGAGCCCTGGAAGAATTAACAAGTTAACTTTCTGATTTGTTTCGTTTCCGAGGTTGGCTGTAATTCTGTGATATAGGAGGGCTTGGATTGCTAACAGCTTCCGGTTACAGTTGTTTGCTTATACGATGTGAAACTTGCAGATTCGGTTTTGATGATACAAACCTTCTGTGCAGTTGTGGCGGTACAGCCTATTTGTTGGTGAATATTTTAGGTTTTGAGAGATTGTAAAATGTGTGGAGAATATGGAATAGGCTCTTAAGGGCGAATTAATTGGGATGATGGATATTCTTAGGAAGCTTTTCTTCTGTACCACTTTATCTGATAGAATGGGAAATTTGGCCTGTTTAAAAATGACTTGGCCCAATAATAGGGTTTAGATTTTACGAGGACAAGGTAGTGGGAACAGTTCTGTGCTGGGGACGGGGATGTTTTGTGTGTCTGCGGCATCAGTAATGTGCGTCCCCCCACAGTTAGACAGCTGGGTTTAGGATGGATTCCCTTCCAAGGAGGTTGGTTCCTGAGGTCGTCTCACCCGGGCGCACAGCCTGGACCACACTTGAAGATCGGCTGGGGGCTCCACGCTATGTAGTCACCGTCTCCATCATCCAGTTCCTGGCTCTGCTGCTTTGCTGACATGCCCTCGTGTAAATCAGGTACTGGGGCCTCATGCACGCACACCCCACCCCGCCCCAGATGACAATGGTTCCCTTTGCCTGGGTTCCAGCAAGCGGTTTTCTTTACTCTCTTACTGGCGCTGTCATGTGTTTCCCTGGTAACTGGGAGTTGAGTGGTGTTATGCTGTTGCTGGTTTTACAGATGAAGACACTGAGGCTCAGGGGTGTTGAGTGACATCCTCAGGGCTGCACAGCCAGTGGGCAGGGGCACTTGGCATTAAAGCACAATCCGCAGAAAACAGGCCACCCTTCACATTCCACCTCTTCTTTAAAAGAACATTTTTGATGAATTAGTTGCTAAACTGAATTATTCCAGTGTCAAATGGATGCTCAGCTTTAAAGTAGGCATATGCCTGGGCACGGTGGGTCACACCTGTAATCCCAGCACTTTGAGAGGCTGAGGTGGGTGGATCACGAGGTCAAGAGATTGAGACCATCCTGGCCAACGTGGTGAAACCTCGCCTCTACTAAAAATATAAAAATTAGCCAGGCATGGTGGCATGTGCCTGTAGTCCCAGCTACTCAGGAAGCTGAGGCAGGAGAATTGCTTGAACCTGGGAGTTGGAGGTTGCAGTGGAGTTGCACCATTGCACTCCAGCCTGGGCAACAGAGTCAGACTCTGTCTCGAAAAAAAATTATACAATGAATTATATATAATATGTAAATTATAATTATATAAAATTATATACACAAATTTAGGTATGTATGTATAGATGTGTGTGTGAGAGAGAGAGAGAGAAAGAGAGAGAGAGAGAGAGAGAGATAGGGTCTTGCTCTGTTGCCCAGCCTGGAGTGCAGTGGCATGATCATGACTCATGTCAGTCTTCATCTCAGCTCTCTGCACTACCACACCTGACTTTTTTTTATTTTTAGTAGAGACAGGGTCTCACTATGTTACTCAGTCTGGCTTCCAACTCCTGAGCTCAAGTGATCCGTCTGCCTTGGCCTCTCAAAGTGCTGAGCATGAGCCACTCTGCCCGGCCTGGTGTATGTATTGATGAGTACATGAGATGTTTTGACACAGGCATGCAACGTGTGAAAATCACATCATAGAGAACGGGGCATCCATCCCCTCAAGCACTTATCCTTTGTGTTATAAACAATCAAATTATACTCTTTTAGTTTTTCTTTCTTTTTTTTTTTTATTAAGACCGAATCTCACTCTGTCACCCAAGCTGGAGTGCAGTGGCGGGAACTGACTGAAAACTCCACCTCCCAGGTTCAAGTGATTCTCCTGGCTCCGCCTGCCAAGTAGCTGGAACTACAGGTGGGCACCACCACACTGGATAATTTTTTCATATTTTTAGTAGAGACAGGGTTTCACTGTGTTAGCCAGGAAGGTCTTGATCTCCTGACCTCATGATCCACCTGCCTTGGCCTCCAAAGTGCTGGGATTACCAGCAGGAGCTACTGCGCCTGGCCTCTCTTTTAGTTATTTTTGAATGTACAATTAAATTATTATTGACTATATAGTGTCCTGTTGGGCTAAATACTGGGTCTTATTCCTTTTTTTTTTTTTTTTGAGATGGAGTCTTACTCTGTCTCCCAGGCTGGAGTGCAGTGGTGTGATCTCGGCTCACTGCAGCCTCCACCTCCTGGGTTCAACGGATTCTCCTACCTCAGCCTCCCAAGTAGCTGGTCTTACAGGTGCCTGCCACCACACCCTGCTAATTTTTGTATGTTTAGTAGAGATGAAGTTTCAGCATGTTGGCCAGGCTGATCTCGAACTCCTGACCTCAGGTGATCCACCTGCTTCAGCTTCCCAAAGTGCTGGGATTGTAGGCGTGAGCCACTGCACCTGGCCTTATTCATGTTTTAAACTATGTTTTGTACCCATGAATCGTCGCACCTTCCTCCCCCTCCCCCTTCCCAGGCTCTGGTAACCATTCTTGTATTCTCTGTCCCCATGAGTTTAATCACTTTGATTTTTAGATCCCACAAGCAAGTGTGAACGTGAGGTATTTTCTTTGTGTGCCTGGCTTGTTTCACTTCACATAATGCCCTCTGGGTCCATCCATGTTGCTGCCGATGACAGGATCCCGTTCTTTTTGATAGTGGAATAGTACACCACTGTGTGTATGTACCACATTTCCTTTACCCAGCCACCTGTTGACGGACCAGGTTACTTTTAATTCACTTTGAATGTGTGCCTGTGGGTGCCCGGCTGGAGGCCTGTGGTGCAGAACGCAGCGCTTGGGAGCAATGTGATGTCCCTGCCTCTCCCGCTGTATGTGTGCTGCAGACCCAGGGATGTGGGAAAGTTGGTGTTTGTGGGTAAGAATGATTGGCAGATGAGTCCTCCAGGCATGCCAGAAAATACTGGAACTCAGTGAAATAACAAGATTGAGTAACCTTCTCGCCGTTTACTTTGGTGGGGAGTAGGGGGTATAAAGCTAGGCTTGATAAAGCTTCCATAAGTGTTTGCCTAGTTAAATACAGGATATGGCAGTGGCTTTTAAACAGACGATTGCAAACAAGGAAGTAGGAGCGGGCTGCTGTTTGGGTATCGTCTGGATGCAGAGCATCATGCTCTTCTGGAACTCATGGGATGCAGAAGGACTGCACCATCTTTTTTTTTTGAGGCGGAGTCTCTGGAGTGCAATGGCATGATCTTGGCTCACCACAACCTCCACCTCCCACGTTCAAGTGATTCTTCTGCCTCAGCCTCCCTAATAGCTGGAATTACAGGTGCCTGCCACTACGCCCAGCTAATTTTTGTATTTTTATAGAGGCAGGGTTTCACCATGTCAGCCAGGCTGGTGAACTCCTGACCTCAGGTGATCTACGTGCTTCAGCCTCCCAAAGTGCTGGGATTACAGGCGTGAGCCACCGCGCCCAGCCTGGATCTGACCATTTAAAATTGCTTCAGTGGCTGAGCAGGATTCTGAGAGTGTCAAACCTTCCCAGGAGGGTTAGGTGCTTTTGGCAACGATTTAACCATTTCAGGGCTCTGGTAAGTTTGGAGATAGTCGATTGCTCATACCTTGAGAAACACTGCCTCAGGAATAAAGAGTGTTGGTTCATTTGTCAAGCACCTGCTGTGCGCGAAGGCCTGGAGAGCCAGTGTGACCCTGACTTCCTGTGGCTGGGTGGAGATGGACCATCGGATGGGTGAGGGGGCTGAGCTCAGGGGCAGGGCGGTGATGCCAGGTGCAGGCAAGGGTGGGCTGGGACTCTCCTGTACCCCCCAGGTGTGTGCAATGTGAGCTGGGCAGGGAGACCGGGAGTCGGGGGGATTCCCCGGGTCGGGAGAGGGCTGACCAT